GCCTTAGTAGAGGACTATCAGATATTATAGACAAACATGGCATAGGTTGAGTATAGATGGATTGTTATGTTCAGTGATGGAAGCAATGGCCACAGTGTTGGTAATGACAGATTCATCATGTAAGTAACTATATTAATACTTCATTTTGTTGAGGGGGTGATTCATAAATAGTCACAAGATCATAGATTTAGAGCTGGAAGGATCCTTAAAGGCCATTGAATCCAACTCCCTAATTTTCAGGTGAGTAAAATGAGGTCCAAGGAGATTGACTGATCTGGGAGTCACACCTCAAGTAAGCTCCTGAGGCGGAATTCACTCCACACACTTATTCTAGGTTCTCAAAGACTATGCTGACTGAGTTCATGAACCGACCAAGGTCCATCTGAGCTAGAAAGGCTTTGAGTGCAGGCCTGTCAGATAGACTTGTTGTCTGTCATCTAAGGAAGGATCTAGCTAGGTTCATGGAGGTTCATTACCAGGCTGACTGCAGGATGATGAAATTTTTGAACATAATTAATAATAATAATAATAATGCACTGTTTGTTTGCAAAGCACTTTATAAACATGATCTCATTTTATCCTCATAACAACCTTGGGAGGGAGGTGCTGTTATTTATTATCTTCATTTTATAGATGAGGAAACTGAAGCAGACAGATGTTAAATGACTTACTTAGGGTCACACAGCTAGTAAGTATATAGGGGAGTATGTGAATTCAGTTCTTTCTGGCTTCAGGTTGAGTACTGTGTCCAAATCTACCATCTAAATGCCGCCTAGATGCTCTATAAGTTTTAATGATTATTATCTACATCTTAAAGGGGTTGGGAATCTATTAAGTAGAGGGAAATTAGGAAGTGGAGGGATGGAAAGGGGAGGGAAGGAAAGGAAAACGTGGAAAGGGAAGGGAAGGAAAATAAGAGAAAGGAAGGGAAAGGAAGAAAAGGGAAGAGGAGAAGGGAAGGAAATCAGAGAGAAGTCAGGACCTGATGGACAGCTAATGGCAGCAGCTGATGTTGAAAGCTTGCCTGCTTATCAGTAACTGCTGGCAAAAGTCCCTGACTCCAGTGCTTGAACCCATTACACGTATTTTCCTAGTTCACTTAATTTATGTTCCTGGGGAACTTCTTACTCTTTCTCTCTTTGTGTGTAAGCATGTGTAGAACAGATAACAATAGCTAGAAAATATTCATTTGACCTACTTGTATGTTACAGGTAAAAAACAGCTGTTTCATATATATGTGTCTGTGTATGCTATGGCTAACCAAGGCATATCTAGAGCTTCATCACAGAATGTTCTCAGGCTATGACTCCCACTATGGCCAGAGTTCAAGTGTGGCTCACTCACACAACACCTAGGTCAGCTCAAAGAGGTCCAGAAAGGTTTTCTGCCACAAAGCTGTATTTCTCCCTCAATCAGTCAGCTTCTAAAGCACCCCTGAATTGAGCAGAGACACTCAACTGAATTGGCATTGGTTTCTCCCCCTAATCTTCCCCTCAGGGGTCTGTCCTTTTGATCTGTCCACGATAGAGCCCACTTACATTAGAAGAACCAGATTTTAAGAAGACCTCAAAGGACCAAGCTACACTAATTGACAAACTGATTTTTTTTAATCCATAAGGCAAAGAAAATGGAGATAGGATGGAAATGTTCATTTCAAAGTAAAATATAATATCTGCTTATAATTATTTGTATTTAAAGTACATTTGTACAGGTAGGAGAAATTATAGTAAATTCTTTTTTTTTTTAAATCTTGCATCAACTGATATACCTTGTCTTTCTGTAATAATTCTGCCCTGTATGTATGCTCAGGTGTCTATCTCAGACCAAGAGATCCCTAGGGCAGGGCAAAGTCAAGCAGTTTCTCTTTCCTTTTCCCTTCTTCCTTCTCTCATCCACATTCTTCTCCTCCTCCCTTACTGTCTTGCCAACTTTTAGGGAGTTTGCCTGTACTATGTCTCCACAATTCTTTTTATTGGTTTCTGGCCTCAACTTGTAACAATTCTGGTCTATCAGGAGCTATTGCCTATGTTACCCTCCCTACGTCCTCCCACAAGTCCCTCCTCAGCCAGCTCCTCAGTATTGTATGTCTGTGAGTGGGGGAGGAAATTGTGTGTGTGTGTGTGTGTGTGTGTGTGTGTGTGTGTGTGAGACGTATTTGTGGGGAAAAAAGTTAAGGTTGAAAATGAATATTGGACATTATTCTACTGGTGTCTGTGACTGGTTCGGAGCAGGCTAATTGTAGGAAGAATGGAAAGACTATGAGCTTTGGAAGCCGAGGACCTTGGCTGGAATCCTGACTCTGTTCTTTGTGATCTCTGTGATCTTGAGCAAACAACTAAATCGCTCCGAGCCTTTGTTTCTGCCTCTTTGTGTTGACCTCTTGTAGCAAACTTTTGAGAGCAAACTATCTTTTGGGGACATGGAAGAGGGAGGGAGGACCTTGGTTCAGGGACCAGGAGGGACAATGGTCAAGAGTGATGCAACCTCTTCTGTCTGCAATCCTGCCTCTGTCTGTCTGTCTGTCTATCTCCACTCTAATCTCTCTCGAGAGATTGAGCTCTTTTTTTGCTCAGGTTTGAAGTTTCAAAATTCCGTGGGTGGGTGTGAAATCTAGGTTGAAGTCTCCTCAAAGAACTCAATTTCCTGTCAGCGCAGACGCCCCCAAGCCAGCTGGAGGGAAGGAGAATGGACATTCTCTGCTGTTTACCAACAGAGTACCAACTTTGGTTGTCCTTTCGTACCGCCTTTCAGCTTCCCTGGGCATACCCAGAGCTCCAAGGCCAATGTCTGCGTAGGTCTAGATGACGTAACTGTACCCTGTCCTTTTTCCATGGAGATGATGCCCTTGACCTTATTGCCAGGAGGCTAGGCACTGAACTGTTTTTCCAATAGTGAGTACAGTTTACACTGGGGCAGCCACGCTCCCCTCTCCTGAATGCCCTGTGGGCCCCAAACTGTGCAAACTTCCTCTGTGTTCTCATCAAAGCCCTGCTAAGCAAAGATTTTAGACTGTTAATTTTGACAGGTAGAGGTGCCGACCAGCAGGATCTGCTAGCAATGACCATATCTACAACTAATCCCAGGGGAAAGAAGGGTGGATTTGCTCATGGTGGGGCTTTCATGGGGATAGGAAGAGTCATAGGCTTTTAGAACTTTGTACACATGAGGAAATTGAGGCCCAGAGAAGGGAAGGTGGCTCTTTAGCAAAGCCCTAACTAACTAGGGGTAGAGGGTCTTTGCAGGCAAAGATTGTGCTTCCTTTCCTATGGCAATCACCATCCCAGCTCCTCTCCATCCTTCATATCTCCATCCCCAAGTTCACTGTGTTTCTCTTCCATCTGCACCCCCCCATCCCCTCTATACCAGTTGGGGCTCAGGCTGGATGTTCTAGGAGATAGGATGTCTCTTCTCTTGACTTGACTGCACCCATGACTGCATGATTTGGACTGTCCTTTATGGCCCCATTCCTCCCTCCTCCTTACTCCCATCATTTGAAAAATGAAAAGAATTGCTAGTTACGGCTGTGCTCTGTAGTTCTTCTGATCTCTCTGTGGACAGGCAGAGAGAATGAGGGTCCAGTGATGAAGGCATGTACTCTATAGATACATCAGCCTTACCTAGAGTTGTCAAAAAGCATTCAGCCAGGGAAATGATTTTTGGTCCCTTAATAAGCATATAGGATATGATCCACATTCCCTGGCATTTTCTCCCCTTTGTCTCATTTAATAATAATGATGATAGAAATAGGGAATGTTCTTGTGCTTCCACTAGCATAAGCAACTGCTTGGATGAGGAAATTCCTCAGTTTATAGTCTCAGACAGGGGTTTTAACCTAGGGTTCCTGGACTTACTGTTAAAATATTTTCACAACTATTTTGCAATACAATTGGCTTCCTTTATAATGCCATGTATTTTATTTCATGCATTTAAAAACATTATTATGAAAAGGGGTCTATAGGCTTCACCAGACTTGCAACAAGGTCTAATAAAACAAATAAGGTTGGGAACCCCTGTTTTAGAGAGTTGTCTAGTATGGTAGTGTCAAACTCAAATAGAAATGGGACCACTAAACTATACATAAAGATCCCTGCAGGCAGCATACTAATTTTTCATTTTTGTTGTTGTTCAGGTGTGTCAAACTCTTCATGACCCTATACATGGTTTTCTTAGCAAAGATACTAGAGTGGTTTTGCCATTTCCTTCTCCAGCTCATTTTACAGATGAGGAAACTGAGACAAACAGGTTGAAGTGACTTACCCAGGGTCACACAGCTAGGAAGTGTCTGAGGCCAGATTTGAACTCAGGAAGATGAATCTTCCTGACTCTTGGCCCGGCACTTTATCCACTGTGCCCCCTAACTGCCCCAGTAGATTAGTTTTTAAAAAAAAACCACATATGAACATTATATATATTCTTTTATATTCCTCCTTATTTTGTTAAATATTTCTCATTTACATTTTAATCTGGTTTTGGCTGTACTCTCTGGAGTGCTGTTTCTGCAAAGTGCCTCCTGGACTTCATGTTTGACACCTCTGGCTTGGTCTAGAGCAGGGGTGGGAAACCAGTGGCCTCAAGGCTATATGTGGCCCTCTAGGTCCTCCGGTTCAGCCATTGGACAAAATCCAAACTTACATAACAAATCCCCTTAATAAAAGGATTTGTTTGGTAAAACTTGGACTCAGTCAAAAGGCCGCACCCAAGGACTTAGAAGGTCTCGAGGTTGCAGGTTCCCCATCCCAGGTCTAGAGCATGGAGAAGTTAAGCAATTAGTCTGGTATCACATAGCCAGTATGTATCACAGGCGAGACCTGAACCCAGGTCTTCCTGGCTTTGAGGGCAGCTCTTGGTCCACTAGGATAAGCTGCCTTTGGCAGTAGCAACACAACATGAATCCATCTTTACTGCACTTGGTCTTCTCAGACTCAAAGCCCTCTAACATCCTGGGCAAGCAAACACCACCCCCTTTGTATTCAATTCAATTTAAGATTTATTAAGCACATCTTAAGGCATTCTCATAGGCACTGGGGATTCAAAGACAGAAGTTAGACTCCCTGCCAGAGAGGAGTTGGCATCTCTCTTACACAAACACATTTATTTCTTCATGGGTAAATTCCACATAGTGGGGTTTTTCTTTCTGACCCTCCATTTCTGCCTCTGATTTTTACTCTCTGGGGTGTGAGTTACATGGAGCTATGATGCAAGTGGTGGGGGTGGGGGTGGTGTGTGATGGAAAGGATGTTTTTCTGGAGCGGCTAACACAAGAGATTGGGCTGGCAGGAAGCCAGGGAGGAAGGGGAAGAGGTCACAGGTCACGGTTCATTGAGGATCTCTTCAATGAGTCATCTTGTAGGTAGGTGGTGATGGTGAGGGAGCTGTTATGGGGGGGGTGAGTCAGAAGACCCGGGTCCTAATTCCAATTCTGACTTTGCTTCTTACTACTCTTGTGAGACCTAGGGCAAGTCAGTTCCCCTCTGTGGGCCTCAGTTTCCCCCTATGTAAAATAAGGGATTAGACCGTCTCTAGAATTCCTTCCAATCTAAATCCTAGGAGACCTTGCTCCATTCATTATCAATGACAGGTGGGCTTTCCACCACTGTTTCCAGGTATTACTTTTGGTCTGTGGGGCTTGATATCGTCAGTGGATCCCCTGTCCTGCGTGGGTATCCTTGGCTGCATGGGCACAGGACTGTTGAACACTCCATCACAGAGATGACCAAATTGATGATTAGGGCCACCCAAGCCATCCCGAAAAGGATCCACATGGACACGACATTCTTGTACCATACTGGGTACCTCCGATCTGGATTCATCCCTGGGGAAAAGAAAGGAGCTCAAGAGATTGCCTCAGCCTTGGGAACTTACTAGCTATGTGATCCTGGGGCAAGTTACATAACCTCTCTCTGCCTCAGTTTCCTCATCTATAAAATGGGGATAATAATAGTACTTACCTTCTAGGATTGTTCTGAGGATCAAATGACATAACATATGCAAAGTGGTTTGCAAACCTTTAAAATGCAATATAAATAATGGTTGTTATTATCTTTCCCCAGTTTCCTCTCCCCCTTGGATCCCTATTTTTTGAGGTGATCTGCTGATGGTGTGTTTTCTTTTTAAAAATATATTTTTATTTCTTTCATTAAATATTTCCCAATTACATATAAAATTTTTTTTATCATTTATTTAAAAAAACTGAGTTTCAAGTTCTCTCTCTCTTGCCCCTTCCTCACCCCTTGAAAATGCTAGCAATATGATATTGATTATATGTATGAAGTCATGCAAAACATATTTTATGGCATGTTTTCAATAGATTCCTTTGCATTTGTTTGTTGCTTTGTTAGATTCAGCCTGGGAGCTCCTGGAAGGTAAAGACCTTTCTATATTATAACACAATACAATAAATATTCCTTAAGCACGTACTATGTACAGGCACAGTACTAAGCAGATATGAATAAAAAAAAAAGCCAGGTTCCTTTCCCTTTCCAACACTAACTAGCCCTAATCCTCTTCCTCAACCTTCCTTTCTGATGCTTTTCTTCCTCTCTTTTGGGTCTTCCCCTCCCCCAATTTCCCTAAGAGAGGCAGAGATATTTTGAGTCTGGGGCTACTTCTCCTTTCTCCTGCCTTATCGGAAGAATGCGATCCCTCCGACTAATTTAGGGCACCTGGAAGTACCTGACTGAAGGAAGCAAATGGGAAGAAACCCACCTCCTGCCTCCTGCCTCCTGCCTTCTCTTCCTCTCCTTGGCCTTGGTACCCCTCCTGGTGTAGCCCTGCTGCCTCAGTGGTGGGGATTGGATTAGGGCTGATTACATTACCGAATCTCAGGGCCATGATTTAGTTGGGAGCCAAAATGAGATCAGTGGTGAGCAAGATTTTTCTGTAGCTAGCAGCAGGCAAGGGGGGAGCTGGGGGGAAGGAGGTATTTTTCTGTCCTCTTATTTCATTTTTCTGCCACAAACGTAAATGTCAGGGGACCAGGCAGCTGGCAAAGGGCTTAAGTGGATAGAAAATGTAATTGGAGGAAGAGAGGCAGGGCTGGAGGGGAGCTGATGGCTGGCAAGGGGGACTGACCCCCACCACAGTTTGTGGGATAAAGAGTCTCTGAAAGCCAGGGTAAGGATGGCTTCTATCCATGACCCTGCTGCTGCTGCTGTGGTCTGAGGATCATCATCTCTGGCAGGTGGACCTCAGTTTCTCCATGTGGGGAAAAGAGTTATAACAGCAGGTAACTATTTTCCATCAGCAGCTCAGATTGGTTTAGACTCCACAGAACATTATGACTCTATAGGATAAGCTGACCCTCAGCTTATCTTATCACCTCGCAGATTGACTCAGTTTTTGAGACTCAACACCTTCACAGTTTCCTCTCCCCTATGAAGTGCTGGTTTTAAGTTAGTTTTCTGGTCCCGTCTGACTCTCCATGACCCCGAGTAGGGTCTTCTCGGCAGAGATACTGGAGTGGTTTGCTATTTGCTTCTCTAGCTCGTTTTACAGATGAGGAACTGAGGCAAACAGGGCGAAGTGACTTGCCCAGGGTCACACAGCTAGTACATGTCTGAGACTGGATTTGAACTCAGGAAGATGAGTCTCTGATTCCAAGTCTAGTCCTGTGCCACTTAGCTGCTGAACTGCAGGAGGGTAGAACAATAAACTCCTTCCAAAGCCTTCCTTTCTGAACTTTCCAGGTAACTGCATTTTCTATCAGCAGCTCAGCTTGGTTTCAATCGCCCCCTCCCTTTCTTCACTCCCAGTTATAACCTGAAGGCTGGTACACCCTGGTAGGCCACCCCCCACCCCCAACCTTTTCAGCTTCCTTTCTGTATCTTCTTCCCCATTAGATTGTAAGCTCCTTGAGGGCAGGGACTGTCTTTTTTTTTCTTATTTGTACCCCTGTGCTTACAGAGTGTAGTACACAGTAGGCATTTAATAAGTGCTTATTGAATTGAATTGAAATCCTGCTCCCTGCAGGATTACCAAAATAAAACAAGGAAGAATTAAAGTCCTGTTTTTGCCCCAACTCTAATCCATCCACCACTAAAGTGATTTTCCTAAAACACAGATCTGACCGTGTCACCCCACCCTGTTTAGTGAACTCTAGTAGCTCCTAGTTACTTCCAGAATCAAATAGAAAATTACTGTGTTTGGCAATCAAGGGCCTTCTCAACCTGGGCCCTTCCCATCTTTCTCCTCCTCAATCCAGCACTCCTTAATTCAGCTTCACCAACCTACTTGTTTCTCGAACCCAACAACTTAAGGCATCACTCCATGCCTGTGGGCTGGGCTATCCCCCAGGTCTCGAACACTCTCCCTTCTCACCTCTGCCTCTTAACTGGCACAGCTAAAGGGAGTAGAGTCCTCTGACTGGAGCCAGGAAGATATGAGTTTGAATTCTGCCTTAGACACTTAATAAGCTGTGTGGGCAAGTCATTCAGCCTCAGGTTTCTCTTCTGTAAAATAGGAATAATAACAGCACCTACCTTACAGGGCTGTTGTGAGGAACCACCAAGAATTATCTAATTTGTTCCTTCTAATATTCCTTAACAGGATGCTTTTATATTTATGTAAAGCACATAAAGTGGGCAGCTAGGTGGCACAGTAGATGAGTGTTGGGCTTGGAGTCAGGGAGACTTATCTTCTTGAGTTCAAGTCTCGCCTCAGACACCTATTAGCTGTGTGACCCTGGGCAACTCACTTCACCCTGTTTGCCTCAGTTTCCCCTTCTGTAAAATGAACTGGAGAAGGAAATGGCAAACCACTCCAGTATGTTTGCCGAGAAAATCCAAGAAAACTCATGAAGAGTTGGACACAACTGAACAACAACAGCAAAAGCACATAGCTAGTATGTTTTCCTGTCTTCCTTCAAGACTCAACTCAAAACTTAGATTCTGGAGGAGGCTTTTCTACTCCCCTCCCTCCCTTCCCCCAGCATTTTCCCTCTGAGTGTTGTTGTTCAGTTGTGTCTGACTCTTTGGGACCCCATAGACCATAGCACGCTAGGCCCTTCTATCCTCTTTCATCTTCTCTTGAAATCTTTCCAAGTTCATGCTAATTCTTTCCATGACACTATCCATCCATCTCATCCTCTGCCATCCCCTTTTTCCTTTTGCCTTCAATCTTTCCCAATATCATTTTTTTTTGCAAACATTTTTTTTTCGCAAAGATACTAGAGTGGTTTGCCACATCAAGGTCTTTTCCAATGAGTCCCAGTCGTCTCATTATGTGGCCAAAACATTTAAGCTTCAGTTTTGGTATTTGACCTTCCAAAGAATAGTCTGAATTAATTTAAGTATTGACTGATATGATCTCTTTGATGTCTAATGGACTCTTAAGTCTTCTCTAGCAACACAATCTGAAGTGTTGATTCTTCAGTGCTCAGCTTACCTTACAATCTGGCTCTCCCAGCCATACATTGCTATTGGAAAAACCATAACTTTGGTTATATGGACCTTTGATGGCAAGGTGATGTCTCTGCTTTGTAGTGTGTTGTCCAGATTTGCCATAACTTTCTTTCCAAGGAGCAAGCATCATTTAATTTCATGTCTTCAGTCTCCATCTGCAGTGATCTTTGAGCCCAAGAATATAAAATCTGACACTGCTTCCATTTCTTTTCCTTTGATTTGCCAGGAAGTGATGGGACCAGTTGCCAAGATCTTAGCTGTTCGATGTTAAGTTTCAAGCCAGCTTTTACACTCTCCTCTTTCATCCTCATCAAGAGGCTTCTGAATTCCCCTTCACTTTCTGCCATCAGAGTAGTATCATCTGCATATCTTAGCGTACTCCAGGGATGCTGTGAGATTCAAATGAGCCAATGGATGTAAAGCACTTTGCAAACCTCAAAGGGCTACATAAATGCCCATCAACACCATCATCATCATCATTATCATCATCATCATCATCATTCTCCAGTCACTAGGCTTCCAGTCTGGTGATGACTTGATTTCCTGAGTCTTCTATTAAACCGCTGAGCTCAAGTAACATTTACATAGAGCAAAACAAGGGTGTGCTGGTAAATGTTTAAAAACCATGCTCTTCAGAAAAAAAAATGTATGCCCACACTTGTAAGTTTAATTTGCATTCTTAGCACTAAGCATAGGCAATCAACAAAATAATAAACCAAGTCCTGATTTGTAGTCATTGCCAATTTCTGAGGAGTAAATGCTTACACCGAAAATTTAAATGTGGGTGGCAAGCCAGAGCCCTGATCGACTCTGCATGTATCTTGTATGTGACTGGTTTATCTATGTGTTATCTCCTGTATTGCACTGTGATCTCCTTGTGTCCCTATCCCATAGCACAGGGTTGTCATTCAGCCTAGTTGTATCTGACTCTTCATGACCTCATGTGAGTATTTTTTTTTTCTGCAAAGATACTAGAGTGGTTTGCAATTTCCTTCTCCAGCTCATTTTACAAATGAGGAAACCAAGGCAAACAGGGTGAAGTGACTTGTCCAGGATCACATAGCTAATAAGCATCTGAAGCCAGATTTGAACTCAGGAAGATGAGTCTTCCTGACTCCAGACCCAGAGCTTTATCCACTGTGCCACCTAGCTACACATGGTTAGGCATATAGTAAGTACTTAATAAATATTTGTTGCCTGACTAACTGCATATATAACATAGAATCAGGTAATTTTTTTCAAACTAGAAGGACCCTTAGAGATAATTTGATTTGACCAGGGAACACTTTAGAGTTTCAGCTATATTGATAGAACTGATAGATGCTGTTGATTGTGTGAGAAGCCTGAGGACATAGTTTATCACTGAGATGGTGTGGCTGGGGGAATTTTGTAGCAAAATACAGGAGAATAAGCTAATTCTCCTGCTAGAAAATTGCCACAATATTTTTTAAATATATACTTAAAATTTTAGAGGGAAAAGGCTAGCAACATATCAGTTTCCTTCTGGAAAATTGCCACAATATTCTTTTAATAGAGACTTAAAATATTAGAGGGAAAGGATTAATATGTCAATTTTCCTACTGGAAAAATTGCCACAATATTTTTAAAATACATACTTAAAATTTTAGGAGGAAAAGACTAGCAACATGTCAATTTTCCTACTGTAAATCTGCTATAATACATATTTTGTAAAGTGTACTTAAAATTTTAGAGAGAAAAGACTAGGAAGATGTTTTCACAGACCCCTACCCCCCACCCAGGTTGTTGGACAATAGGGTTCTGTGGGACCCATTTTGGAAAATGCTGGTCTACCTCTCTGATTTAATAGACAAAAAAAATGAGTCCAAAAGAAGTGGAATTATGTGTTAGCTAGTCAGTACCCAGTCCCCTGTTTTGTCCTCAAAGAGCTATGTATTTTACTTTACATGGAACGTGGCTCTTCTTACAAGCTCAGTTATGACTGGAATGACAGATGTGTGGTCTACTGGGCTCCCCTGCCCCACCTTCCTAGGACTGGGCATTCCAATATGGTGTGTGGAGGTGGGGCGGGCCTGGAGGAGGAGGTCTAGACGTCCCTGGAGACTTCTTCCTCTTGGGTGACCCAGGAAACACTAACCTGAGCCCTCAACTTTCTTTGATGAGAATACTATTAGCCCCATCACTCAGACATTTACTTTAAGCTGTTTCTCCAGCAGGGAAGATGGAGCTTCACTGAATTGCCCACAGTCTCTAGTGCCTTTCACCAAAGAGCTGGAGAGTATGGACCAAGCTATCCTCATTTTCCTCTGACGACCAAAGGAAAAAAGGGTTAAACCTTAATGGGAAGGATTTAGGAAAAATTAAGACCAGGCTTTTGTGTACCCTTGGGCAAGGTTGGAAGATGGAGCCCTCTTGTGCTTGAAAATGTGTGTGGCTGAGCAGCTGGGAGGTTTTGAGGCTTCCCTAAAAAAATGTGCCATGAAGAGTGGAATTTGATAAGGAGGGCAGCTAAGTGGCGCAGGGGATAGAGCACCGGCTCTGAAGTCAGGAGGACCCGAGTTCAAATCCGGCCTCAGACCAAACACTTGACACTTACAAGCTGTGTGACCCTGGGCAAGTCACTTAACCCCAATCGCCTAAAAAAAAACAACCCCAAAAAACAAAAAACAAAAAACAAAAAGCAAGAGTGGAATTTGAGAGCTCTTTACAAGTATCAATACATAGCAGGGCTAAAAAATGTCCTTCTTGGTGCATCCTGGTGGGCCGAGTGCTAGGTAGCTGCCTCCCTTGTCTATCCCTAATTCTAGTGCTGGATTTAGGTCCATAGCAAGGAAGGACAGGGGAATAAGCATTTATAAAGCACCTACCATGTTTCAGGCACTGTGCTAAGCACTTTAGGATCATAGGTTGACAGGATTTGGAGCTAGAAAAGACCATAGAGGTCCTCCCTGATTTTATAGAGGAGGAAAGGAAGGCTCCCAAAGCCATAGCTAGGAAGCAGAGTGGCTAACTGTGGTGTGAGGGTCTCAGGTAAGGACCATCAGAGATAAGGTATCATCTACCCTTGGGATCTCTAGGAAAGGAAGGATGGAGAGACAGTCTAGCCCGAAGGCAGGGGGATGGCTGTGATGACCCATGGAAGTCTTCTTGCCTCTTCCTCCCAGCTTCTCACCTATCACATAGTCACCAAAACCCACAGTGCTGAGGGTGATGAAGGAGTAGTAGAATCCCTCTTCGTAGCTCCAGCCTTCCATGTGGGTGAAGAGAAGTGGAGGCAACAGGAAAAAGAGTAGGAGGCCAGAGAGGAAGGCACATGAACCAACAAACCACCGGGCTCTGTTCTGGTCCTGTAAGAGGATACAGAGAAGAAACCATGGGGCATGTCTGGAGAGAGAGGGAGTGGATCTAACAGGGCAAGGGATGGATCACATGAATGGGAAGTCCCCAGGTAGAGGCAGGATGAGCTCAGGGGCATGAAGCAGTGACTTGGGACCGAAGTAGCCCATCCTCTCCTCCATCACCTATATACCCTTACGCCTTGGGCCTCCATGCAGCTAGCTAGCATTTCTCTTGACTCCCCATGACACACCCATGTCTCTGACTTTTTCCCTTATCAGTCAAGAAAGGCCCTTCCCCATCTCCATAAGTGATCCCTCAACTCAGCAGGACCTCCAAACCAATCAATAACTCCCCCATTTTAAGCAGCGACCTTTCCTTTCCCATCCCTAATTCTTATCACTGATCCTTAAGAGCGACTCTTATCTTTAGTGATGTTCCCCCCAGATCCCCTGCCTCCCAAGGGATTCTCCATCCTCAGAAATGACCCCCATGTTTCCTGCAGGGAGCCTGGCCCCATTTCTCCCAGACTCCTAGCCAATGCCTCCAAGTCCTCTCTTCCCATTTCAATCTCTCTTACCTTCTGGGCCCCACCCAGCCACTGGGCCCAACGTTGAACCCAGGAGAGCATGAGGCGTCCCAGCCTGTTGAGCAGCACAAGATTGAGAGGGATTCCCAGGAAGGCGAAGAAGATGCAGAAGAGGCGGGCACCCATTGTATGGGGGCTCAGGTTCCCATAGCCTGGGGCACAACAGGAGGTGGGTATTACAGGCGATAGCTGCAGGAGATAATCTCAAATCTACCCCCTTGACCAAACCTTATTAGACCCTCCTGCCTCTCTGTTTTCAGGGTTCCCAGGCCCAGAAAATGTGGAGAAAGGGATAGATCAAAGAAAATGGGGGAAAAGAAGGGAGAGTATTATCTTCTCCCTTCCTTCACCATATATTCCATTGGAGAAGATGAAGATGGAATGGTACAGGACAGCCACTAGCTGAGGGCTCTGCCCAATTCCTCCTTGGCCATGCAGAAAGGGACAGGGAAGAGCAATTCTAAATGAACCTCATGACCTTAGGAAGGTCCCATTCATCTAAAGAGTTTCAGCTTCCCTTTTATTCCTTTATTCCTCTCTCTTTCCTTTCCCGGCCCCTTTCTCCCTAGAGCAGCTGGATATCTACTCCCACCATTTCATTGCAATTGTTTTCCAGTCTAAGGTCAGTGGTGACCTCCTTTTCTTATGTCTCATCTTTCTTGACCTCTCTGTAGCATCCAATCTTGTTGACCACTCCAGCATACTCTCCTCTCTTGGCTTTTATAACACAGTATTATTTTTAAAATGTTTAATTTATTTAATTTTTAATTTATGGAATAAAATAAGCATTTCTATAACATAGTATAATAAAAAGATGATTACACATGAAACACAAATCTATTATGCTTGCTATTCTTTTAAAATATATAATAAAGTTATCATATAAATTTCCTTTTGTTCCTCCTCCCCTCTCCACTCTAGAGATGGCTACCGTGAGACACAAATATGTGTGTGTGTGTATATATATATATATATATACACAAATATGTGTATATATGTATGTGTGTGTATATAAAATCATTCTATACATCAAAGTTATAATTACTATTTGTGAATTTCCCTACATCTTATTTTTACTCACTATTGTCCTTGTACCCTATACCTGTTATCTTATCTTCTCCCCTTTCCTGCTTATTCCTTATTCTACCAGTCTTGTTATACTGCTTTGATTCCCCTCCTACTTCTCTAACCTATCTTTCTCTGTTTCTTGTTTTATCTCCTATTTCTCTTCCTATCCTCATCTGGGAGCCATCTCTTTTCTCTCTTTACATTCTCTTCATGCAATCATCATCAAGTCTAGTTTGATGCTCACATGCATACCTTCAGTTCTTTATCTGCAACTATTTATACCGTTATTTCCACTTAAGAGTTCTATTAGCACTTCAAGTTCTCCATCCATTCATCCATCCATCCATCCATCCATCCATCTATCCACCCATCTACTAAAGAAGGCTAAATCTAAAATCAAACAAGCTCCCTGTCTCTGTCAATTCTACTAGTCACCCAGCTAAAATAAATTTATTCTATTATCTCCAAGAGGTTTCTCATATCTATTGATTCCTCTTTATTCTAATCATCACTGCCCTAGTCCAGGCTCCCATTCCCTCACACATGAACTAATGTAATTTTAATAACAATAATGATAATACATGACTGAGTCATGTGAACTTGTTGATGAAAATCGAGGAGCTTTATGATGGCAATTACAGACCAGGTTACTGCCACCAGAAATTAGAGGACCTTAAGGGACTTAGACTTAGTGATCAATGTAGATTATACAAAGGAAATGATAAAAAAAAATTATGCAACACATCACCTTAGGCTATAAAAATTTACCACCTACTAAATACTAAATACAAAACATGCCTTGTTCACTAGAATTATGTATACATCAGAACCTCACTATCTTTTATGGACTCACATATGACAAATCCCCATACTTCAAATATAGACTTCACAATATCCTGGAGGACTCAGCCTATAAAATGTACTTGAACTGGACCATTATTACAGACTGAATTATTTGCCCACAATTGCCTGGATATCACATCGACCCATAAAAAATGAAAAGCAACTTCTAAAATGGTTATTGTCATACCAAACACTCATAATGCCCAAGCTGCATGGAATGGAAAGCTTTCAAAACACAGAGACCAAGCAGAGGAGATAAAAAACATGTGGTAACAGGGAGAGGTATCCATCAAACCCTTTGTCTTGTCTGCCACTGGAGGTGTCCTGAAGATGCTTTTGTTGATCCCAAAGAGGAAGAGCTTACATCCCAACACTTTTTATTCAATTACAAACAGCTGTTACTTTTATCTACCTGTCCATAGAACTTTAAATATTAAAAAAGAATAGCCGTATAGCAACTTGTCCGAGGAGTATTTTTCTCTGAAGCCCCTCAAAAATGGTAGAACAGGATGATAATAAAAATAGCAATGACCTATCTCCTGACAGAGAAAGGAGATGGACTTAGGTGAAAAATGATACATACATTTTCTGGACACAGCCAACTGGGGAATTTGCTTTGCTTGACTTGCATGTATACACATATACATATATATTCATATGATCATAAATATATATGCATACACACATATATACACATATTCACACAATTTCTTCCAAGGGTTTGTTTTGTTTTTCTTTTTTTTCCCCCCAGTTGTGGTGAGGGGAGGGGTGGAGGTTGGAGGGGAAGAAATTTGATTTTCATTAGTTAAAAAAATGAATTTAAATAAGAAAGGAAAAACAGCAACACATTTTTCATTCCTTTTCCTTCCCAACTATTCTCAATCTTTGATTCCTCAGTTACAAATATGGCTTCTTAACAAAACAGAAAGTCCATTAGACTGTGATGTCCTTAAAAATAGGGACTGTTTTTTGTCTTTCTTTGTATCCCCAGCTTTTAGCACGGAGCCCAGCACATAGTAGGCACTTGATAAATGCTCATTGACTGACTGACATAGGTTGGATATGTGTAAAGGGAATTCCAAATGAATAAACTCCCTCTACTAATGAAAACAGATCTGCAGCTGTTTTGAAACTTTGGTCTTAGTTTCCAGGACATTGAGGTTAGGGGCTTACCCTGGGTCACAAAGCCAGGGGAGGGGGAGGGACTTAAATTGAGGCCTTCCCAACTCCAAGCCTAGCTCTGTAGCCACTGGGCTAGGCTACATATTCGGAGCCTGATAAATATTGTTGAGTTTGACTTGAATCACAGCCTCTCAGTTGGAAGGGAACTGGTAGGGGGGATGGGGGTGGGGAGAGGATTTTGCTCATCCAATTCATATAAAAGATAACAATGAAAATGACATTCCCACATTTCCGGTGTACTTTGTGGCCAACCCTCTGTTGATGAAGCTCTTTGAAAGTAGCTGGTTTGATCCTCAGAGAGGAAACAGGATCACTTTGATAGCACCGTATCTGTAGCTTTCCAGCTTGGTATAGTAGAACCTGCCAGTAGAACCTTGCGTTCCTCTGGTATAGCCTGTGAGAAACCCTGGTGGCCTTTGTGCCATTAGGAAGAAGGCAAGAGAATAAGCATTTATTAAGCACCTACTATGTGCCAGGCATGGTACTAAGATCTTTACAAATATTGTCTCATTTTCAAATACTAGCTCTATCTCACAACTGCTGTGTGAATTAGGTGCTATTATTAGCTCTATTTTACAGTCGAGGAAAGTGAAGTTAAATGACTTGCCCAGAGTCACACACCTAGTAATTGTCTTGAGGCCAAATTTGAACTTAGGTCTTCTTGACTCCAGGCCTGGCCCTCTATCCTCTTGAGTCACCTATCTCCCCAATGAGGAGACATTGGAGTAGGGCTTGAGTGAATACTTCATAATATGTTTCATTTATGAAGGTGTTCAATGCACCAATGCAGAGCTCAATCCTTTCCACATTTTGCAGATGTGTCTTTAGCACTAGCCGGGGTCAAAGAAATGTGTCCCATTGTGGGGTCTCTCCAGCATCCTTGCCCTTAGCTAACTTGGACAGCAGCAGGCTGTCAGCAGGGCAGCATCCCTTTCTAGCTTCCTAGGACCTGCCAAGGCTTGCCTTCTACTGGTCATAGGATTAGGGATGTGGAACTGGAGGGAATCGTACAAAAGGAAACAAGCCAGAGAGATCAAATGATTTGCCCATAGTCACATAGTGAGTTATGTGGTGGAGTTGAGAGCTTTAACTTGTTGTCTTTGTACGGCACCCTGGTGCCTCCTCGAAATAGAGCCTTTGAGAATCCTGGTGTTTACTCCAAGCCATGATGTGGTATCATAGGAAGACTTGGCTTCACTGATTTAGAGATGAAAGGGGCTTTAATGGTCATCCAGTCGGACCCTTTCATTTTACAGATAAGGAAACTGAGACTCGAAAATGTGAAGTGATTTTCCCAAAGTCACCCAAGATGTAAGAACTGGTGACTTTAATGGAGGAAAAATAATAGTACTTTATACTTTCACAGCAATTTTATAGACATTATCTGCTTTGAGCCTCACAACCACCCCCTGAAGTAGGCAGCGTTAGTATTGTTTTTCTTTTACATGCAATAACAACAGCTGGTATTTTAGTTGCCAGCTGTTTATGTCTGTACAATGCTTTACATACATTTTCTCATTTGATCCTCACAAGAACCCCAGGAGGCAGGTGCCATTATTATCCTCATTTTATAGATCAAAGGAGGTTTAGTGACATGCCTAGGGTCCTACAGGTAGTGAGTTTCTCTGGGGATATTCCAGCCCAGATCTTGGCTGCATGCTGCCTTTCACGATGATGAAATTGGGGTTCAGAGAATTCAAGGTCTAGTAGCATCTGAACTGACATCTAGCTCTTTTAATTCTAAATGCTGAATTCCCTCTCCCTTATATCACAGTAGCCTCGAGATCTTCCTAACCTAACTTTCTAACAATTTCTCAGTCTCCAACTCATTCTGCACACTGTTGCCAGGCTACCCTCCCTCGGGCACCACTCTGACCCAGTCACTTCTTTGCTCAATAGACTCAGTGATTCCTGACTGAATTAGTCTAGATTCGTTAGTCTAGGATTAAAGGACCTAAATGACCTGGTCCCACTTTACCTCTCCAACTTTATTTCCCATTCTTGCAGGCACGCTTATCTTGAGGTGTTTGGATAGACCTCTCAGGAGGTCTGAGAACTT